TGCAATGATAACAAAAACATACACCTTCAAATTGTCAAATATTTAGAGTGATTGCATTAAACGTATTTGACATTCACTATTGTTCTATTCGCTGAGAATCGAAATGCCTCCAAACCTCTTCCAAGTCAGTTCTATTAAGCTAAATCCCTCTTTTATCCTTGAATTTCAGTTAATTAAAGTTGTAAAGTATTTTCTCTCTTTGACTGCAGGATACCCACTGAGCTCGCCTTCAAGGGAGAAACAAACAACTGTCTCAATTTGTGATTTTATGCTTTTGAATGTTTTATCTTTTTTATTACTAACAAAGGAGGTCTACTGGTATGAGATCAGTGAAATATTATATGTATTTGGGTGATACTAATACAAAAAATATGGAGCACTTGTCTGAGCATTGTTGCCATTGAGCCCTAGGAGCCGAGATTTAAAAAAAATGTATAAATTAAATATATTTTTTAAAATATGACTGTGTCTATCCTAGTGTGCGTGGAATTAAAGGTTAATATATTACGAAGGATAAGAAATACTGTACGGTGACAAATTTATATTTCAATATCTACGATACGTAGCAAAAAAGGTCAAATATTTGCTAGTAAAAATCAATATAATAATGATATTTGATGTTCGCCTTTTGCATCCAAAAGAGCTCTGAAAACATATTAAAAAAAAAATAAATTGTAAAATAGTGATAAATTTAAAACCATCATATGGACCCATAGGAAATTTTACAAGGCAGCACAATCCTATAGATCAAACGTAATGGCTTAAACGATAGCCTCCGTATGTAAATTAGGAATTGAGATATAAAACAATACATTCAGGTGTTTTTGTCGATTCAATCCTTTTCTCCCTCCCTCTCTCTCTCACACTCTCTCTCTCTCTCTCTCCCTCCCTCCATCTCTCTCTCCCCTCCCTCCCTCCCTCTTCTTTATTCTNTCTCTCTCTCTCTCTCTCTCTCTCTCTCTCTCTCTCTCTCTCTCTCTCTCTCTCTCTCTCTCTCTTTTCTTTCTATATTGCATTAAAATATTACTATTATTGAGCTAGGATTGAAGAAAAATAAATCAGTTTTGTTAACGGTCGTAACCACGTTGAATTTGGAAAATCTGGTGGTAATATGAATTTTTAAATATAATTAATGTAATGGACATCGGCGTGAAAAACAAAATAAACTCTGGGGAATCTAGCCCAAAACGACTATTTTTTATTGCTATGCAAATTCGTATTTAAAAGTTCCATTGGAAAAAAAGCTTAGCACGTGTGTAATACGTTTCGACCTAGTATCACAAAAAGAAAGGTGATCCGAAGACCATAACTTCCTCTTACCCGTTTTGAGTACCACGTGATAATTGATCAGTAAAAACCTAAAAAAACACAAGTTTTGACTTAATAAAAACAAATATTAAAAGAAAATATAATCAGAGAGGCATATCGTAAAATTTTAATGTAATGCATGAACCAATGGTAGCTTCTCCAGTATAATTGTTTCATTAATATTTTGTTTGTCATTTTCAGTTACTCTTGATCGCTATTGAGTTACACACTCGTGGGTAGTTACATTGTGCAATAAAAAATGATATGTTCAACCGTTGATGATGAGCAAATTCAAGCTTTTGAGAAGAATTTACTGAACTGCATCTACGTAATCAATCCGTCATTCCATCCTTAAACGTGATGTAAAAGATCCATTTTTAAAATGATTGATAACTGTAGAAAAAAGTATGTCTTTTAACACAAAGGTCAGAAAGAAAAATCCTGGGGAATGCGCAAGGACACACCGTTAAAACTTCAAAAGCCGAATTACCACCCGAGAGGTTATATGCATTTGGTAGGATTGAAAGGGGTGTTTTATAATGAGCTTGGTCCCCGCCAACCAAATCAACTCTGCTGTACGATATGGATATTCGGAGTGATCAAAGTCAACAACTGATCAAACCGCTTATCCAGTGGAGTTGGTTATACTTGTGTTTTATGAGGGTGGTTAGGGATGGTTACACTCACTCCCACGTATCTTTGCAGGCAAAACATTTTTTTTAGCTTGACTGGAATGTGTTACCCAACCCATCTTATTTTCCTGACATTGCCCATTCAGATTTTTACTTATTCCGAATCTCAAGAAATCTAATAACGGACAAAACTTTACTTAGCTAGCAGAAAACGCGTACAAGAATTCAATGCTCAAACCTTGAGGAGTTCTGGAAGGAGGAAATAACAAATTACATAAAAGATATCAACAGGAAATGGTTCATATATTAGATTAAACAGAAAACCAAGAAAATTATTTTACCACCCAATATTATTTTTTTATAAGATGTTGTGCAGGATAACAACAGTTTTAACTAATATGCCATAAAATTATCTATTCAAAATATGCTAATTTTGTTGTGATACGCGGGTCGAGGACAAATATTATTGTGATAATAATCGAAAGGTAAGATAATTCTGTTGAAAAGAAACAAAGAGTGAAATAATTTAAACAAGAGTCATTTAAAATTATGCAATATTTTTTTCTGAGCAGAGATTATTGGTTAGACCTGCAACAGGCGTTGGCTCTGCAGAAGGACCGCTCTTTACACTCCGGCTAGTAATCTTAAAATTGAAATCTATGGAATAGCTTGAACTATGTTCTTGTCTTAAATGTTATGAAAAGACGTCAAACAAAAATATTTTACTAAAAGTCTAGAACTTTTAATAAATCATATCACACATATTAAACAAAATATATTAAGGATTACTATTTTAATCAAATGTATATAATTTATAAATTTTAAGTTAACGGTTTATTTTGAATATGCACCTATATAGATTGTGAATAGGAAATATTATTGTAAATTAATAATCAAAACAGCTAGAGCCTAAATTTCGCAGGAACTCAGTGTAAATTGGGAAAGAATTGATGGCGAGAAAATGATTAATTTCTACAAAAAGTAGAAAGAATCTAAGCCACTTAATTATTAAAAGGATCTGTGAGATAAAATAGGGATTTTTTTGTTTGTAGGCGCCCTGCCCTAGAAGGTCGACACAGCACCAAAGTAAATTGCTTTAAACGGACCAAAGTTTATTTTGAATAACTTATATGGCAGGTCGGTTTTGCATGTTTGCAATTCATTAAACCATTGATTTTTTCCCCAGGATAATTTTTTTTTTACATTTTGGCACACCTTCTGGTTCGCAACTAATTTAAACAATACCTCGAGAAAATCTTATTAAAAAAAGTTGATAATATATTCGATAACAAGCATTATAAATGAAAATTTTTTCAATATTCAATAGGTAATATTTTTTGTAAAAGAGAATGGAATAAAGAAAAACAAAATAATCGTCACCTGTCACATACATTTTCTAGGTGATTTCACATGGATACACGAAAAAATTATAGTTATCAAATATATATCATCGAACACCATTTACACAAATCGATTTTTTGTTGCAAACAATAAACCTTTGTAGATTTAATGTATGTTGCTACATTGTTTGCACGAGTAGTTTTTATGGTGCTCTTGGATATCATGCCAATGTACGACCGGAGTTCACCAAAAACCAAGAAAACTACACAGGTTTTATTTTTGTTGAATGATTGAAAAAGTATTGGCAGACATTGATATATTTTCACATTGTAATATGGAAGTGTTGCATAAAGAATAGTAAGACCATTTTTCATTTTTTTGCAAACAAAAAAACCATTGTAGATTTAATTTATGATGCTATAACATTTGTACATAATGTAGTTTTTATTTTGACAGGAATTAACCAAAAACCAGGCGAAATTAAATAGTGTTTTTTTTATTATTGTTGATTGGTGAAAGAAATATCAACAAGACGATGACATATTTTCATATTGCAACATGGATCTAGAGTTGATATGTAATGATAAAAAGACAATTTCCCTTTGTTTTTGAAACACTAAACCTTTGTAGATTTAACGTGTACAGTTACATTATTTGTACAAAATGCTGTTTTGTTATGGAGGTTTTTTGATATCAGGCCAGTATCTTCCTGGAATAACAGGAGTTAACCAAAAACCGGGAGGAACAAAACAGTTTTTTTTATTATCGTTAAATGTTTTGAAAAGTATCAATATGACGATGACATATTTTCATATTGTAACATGTATTGCTAAATAATGATAAAGAAAATTTTTACATTTTTTTTGCAAACAATAAGCCTTTGTAGATTTCATTTATGTTGTTATTTGCACAAAATATAGTTTTTACTGTGGGCGCTTTTGGATATCATGCCAATGTACGACAGGAATTAACCAAAAACCAGGAAGGTACGAAACAGGTTTTTTATTATTGTTGATTGATTTAAAAAGTATCAGCATGACATGACATATTTTCATATTGTGGCATGTAACTAGTGTTGTTAAATAATGAAAAAAGAGCATGTACGATTTTGCAAATGTCGAATTTCTTATCAAATCTAATATAAGTGAAAACTTTTGATAAATTGTTTGGAAAACCTCCCGGCATCTCGGCGCACAATAAGGTACTATTCATACGCCAAAAAAGGCCAAATGATAACTGTTCGAAATGCGCATTTAAAAAAAAAAATATTCCTCGAAAATTAAATGTTCATATCGAGATTTTTTATATATACAGTTATATACTAAAGCAGTAATGTTTTAGCACAGAGAAGGCAAAATTGCAACAGGTTTTGTCGTGGTGCTTTACCGGCATTGTATCGGATTCGAATATTAGGAGGATTAATTTGGCAATGTGCAATTTGTTTTTATTCTCTGTAAGTATGAAACAAATTAGGGTCGTTTATTTGATTACCCTTTTGTTAAAATACCAATATCGCCATTTATTTTTTTTGCATTATTTTGATTTCGTTATAAGAAATAAAATTTTACGAAATCAACTTTTCATCTTCTCTACAGCAAGGTTGTAGAAATTTGTAGGGAAACAAATCGTTTAAGTATTGAACAGTTAAATCGAGGTGTTACACTGTTTGTGGTTTACGCTTCAAATTTCAAGAATTTAACATGTTCTTTTGCCACTCACCTGAAGCTTGAACAGGGATGGATGACCCAGTGGCCGGCGGCTTTCTGCCTGATCCTCTCCTTCATCAGTGCTTTTTTACTCCCGAATAATTTCATGGCCAATTTGTTGTCCGTGGGCTGAAAGAGGGCCTGGAGTTGGTTCTTGATGAAGCTCTGCTTTCCGGAATCCGCTGCGGCGGAGTCCGGACCGCCACCGGCCCCCATGGTGGACGGCTCTTCCTTCGGGGTGCCGTAAAGGGACAGTTCGTCCCCCCCGCCGAAATGCACTTTCCCGGCGTAGCTCATGTCCTGCGAGAAGAGGTCTGTGAGCAGAAGGGCTTCGTCGTCGAGGGCTGTGACTAGAGAATCTGTGCAAGTGTTTGTGTTTTCGAGACTGATCTTGATCTCATCGCGGACGAGCCGACCCCCACGGATCTCGTCCACTGACTGGGCAGATAGACGGCCGTTCGGTAGTTTGAGACTCGGCGCTCGTTCCCCCACCACCCCTTCTCGATCCCTCTCGCACTCCCTGCAACCAAACAATGTCAGAATTACATTTTGCTTCATCCCCTTCATAATATACCGTCTTATATTACATATATATTTATATTCCACGTGCACACATCCATTCACGCTTACACGCATAAATAGTTACAAAAATATCATATTATTACTATTTTGTACAACGAAAAACACGCTTGTTATGCTCTGGGAAAAATTCTCCCTTAAGAACAAATCATATTTTATCAATATTTTACAGTAAGGCTTTGTGGAAAGGGGCGACTGGTCACGGTAAGGTCAAGGCCCCGGTTTCGAATCAAATGGCCCTGCATTCGAAACCAACATACTTACAGTGCTATTTTCCAAAACACCGGCACCCCGTGGGCTCATATAACCTTATAATAAATATTTATATGTATATTTTACATTAGAGATTCTATTATTTTAGTTTATCTATTAGTCCTGTCCAATAAGTTACCCTTTTTTTTAACATTATTTTTCCCCACTATGTGCTAATTTTTTTAATTCCTCGGGAAGTAAATTAAATAATTTAATATCAGTGCAATTAAATTCTTTTCGCCCAGCAGTTACATGAAGAAAATATATGCATTCATTGTACTTATTGCAGCATTGCAGTAATTAAGTTGTCTTTGAATTAATGTTAAATACATGACATTTCTGTTAGGAAATTGCATTATTTTCTTATGATTTTTAACCAAGTTTGATTTCTTATGGCCATCTTAAGCTTCTATCTACTATTGCACCAAGAAATTTTATGGAGTCTGCTTCAATTCCGAATTACTAGAAGCCGGATTTGTAGGCAACTGCATACTCCTTTTGTGAACACTTACGACCATCAAGATCAGATATTTTTATATAATTATTATTTATAAACGACGATGAAATTACTATAAAAAATTAGATTTATGTAGTAATAATGAACTAAAAATAAAAATGTAAAGTAAAACAACTGCGACTTCTATATAGTGTGAAATATTAATTTACTACTAATGATAAAAAATGTATGCAAAATTATATAAAACAAATAAATAATAGCAATCCTTTTGTAATAGACATTAAAAAAGAGCCTTTTCTTAATTATTGTAACGAGGGTTTCCAGTTTCGGTTTGACTTTTTTTTACATTAGTGTTATGAGCGCCGTACCAACGCATTAACCGTTGCTGCCCCCGTAAAGAACTCTTTTAACAAAACACATAACAATCTCCTACATTACTGAACGGAGCAAAAAATATAAACTTAAACACTTGTCCTATACTTTTCGACCTAATATTACAAAGCAAGGGTTTAATTAAATTCAGTGACGTTTCTGGCCACCCCTAATCACGTGATAATTGATTAGGAAAAGCGTGAACATACAACCATAATTGGCAACACGTTGTCGCTATAAATGGATATTAAAACAAAATAATCAGACAGGTATATTGCAAAATTTTAATATTTTAATGTAACCAATGGATTTAGTGTAACCAAAGGACCGCTTCTCCACTATAATAGTTTTCTTAATATTTTGTTTGTTGTTTTGTTTCATTCACTCCCGTTTACTATTGAGTTACACATGTAGTTATATTATTCAATAAAATTTAAAAATGTAAAGGTACGACCGTTGATGATGACCAAATTTAGCTTTTAAGAAGCGCAGAATTTACTGGACCCCATCTCCATTTGCGCTAGCCTCCTTAAGCGGAATGTAAAAAATCCATTTTTAAACGGATTGATAACTAGGGATAAAAAAATGAGTCTTTTACTACTAAGTTCAGAGAAAAAAATCCTGGGAAAAGCACCACGACATACCGTCAACAACTCCAAAAGCCGGATTACGTTCAAGAAGATAATGTTGTACATTTGGTAGGATTGGAAGGTTCCTTCCTTATCAACTTTTTGAACAACGAGTTGAAGCGATGAACTGTTGTTTGTAAGTATGTCTGGTTCGAATTCAGGACGTCTGGCTTAGTTATTAGCGCTGTGACAACGCCTTATCCATTGCGTTCACCGATGGAAGCATTGCGGCCGAATGAAAACACTTTAAAGGAAAAGAGAAACCAATAACCATATCCTATAATACTGAACGAAGTAAAAAAAATAAACTCAAAGTTATACAAAGGACAAAAAAATATTCAAGGAATGGACCGAATATTATTTTGCATTTTTGACACCTATGGGCAATTTGTTATAATTTTAGCAAGCTGATAAGGAAATAATTTTGTAAAAAGGATGTATTTAGTAGGGTAGAGCTCGGCAGGATTTGAACGAATTAAGCGAGCCAAGCCAGATGTGTCTATTCAAAGAAATGGGTGAGAAGAGATAATCAGAGATTTTGAAATGTAGGGTTTTTAAAGTGAAAGTAATAACAAGATTACTTAACGAACACAACGTTTTGGCCAATACAAATTGTTGTAAAAATGGTAATAAGTTCCAGTATTTTTTAACACTAAAGATGAAGGGGACAGAGGAATTAAAAGCACGTTCAAGTAGGGAATTTTGAATATTTGTAATACTAACAGAAAAAAACAATAAAAACAATAAGATTTATTGGTAAAAAAGAAGTTACGGTGTATCAATTGGAATAAAATCTGGTTAATTATTCAGTGAGTTTTTGTATATTCCTCCTTTTTCAGACCATTTTGAACTTTACACCGAAGTTAGTAAAAGTCCATATGGTTGAGCTGATTTTTGCTTCGAGTATCATGCCGGTCTTATGTTCTCAATAGTCTTATTCACCAATCTAATGCATTTTTTCGATGTAAAGCATTGTGCATTGCACGTATAATTAGAGGCCATTAGTATATGGTTGCAAAAACCTATTTGGAGTGATAAATCATAAAGGTAAAGCAGAAAAGTTGGGGGCCAAGGACGGAGCCCTGAGAAACACCGCACCTTACTGGCAACCACGAGATCTTATTTCATTGCTGCCATCTTTTGTAAAAAAATAACATGGTTAACCGTAAGGGTGGCCTTGACTGAATGGCTTTCTCCATTCACTAACAAGTGGGCACCAATTTGAATTTTCTAACGTTGAAATAAATGACAAGTAGTAGCGATTACCCAAAAGAAGAATAAAAGACGTTTACATACTAAATGAAATGGAAAATACTAATTGCAACCTTCAGACAGTTACTGTGGGCTTATGTTCAAATTATGAAGGTGTTAAAAAGAGGCGATTTTCGATAACGAGAGGAGAGTCTCCAGGTGAAGTTTGCAACAGTTGGGAGTGAGGCTATGTTCAAAGAAATTTGAAACCAGTTTAAAAAACTTAATTATGTCAATTTGTAGACATGTTTTATTTTATATATTTATTTCAATATGTAACCCTTTTTTACATTATGTAATGGGATGGACTTTCAAAATTTACAAGTGGCATATAAGATGTGTCGTGAGGGGAGTTAAAAACCGTGGCTGTTTTCCCAACTATATGCGAGGTATATAGTCGTTCGTTTAGTAGGTCGCGAGGCCATTTCCTCTTCAGTCGTATGGTGGTATTATAAGGGTGGTTTCTATTGCCTAAGGATTGGAAAACTCAATTGGGATGAGAGGAGAGTTTACTGGGGGAAGTGGAAAATGTTTTGGGGAATATTTCTTGCACGAGAGTGGTTTTGAGGTCATTTTGAAGGGTGATGTTTGAGACGTTGTAAGGAGCGTTGGCTATGGTTCTGAGGACTTTGGATTGGAAGGATTGTATATTCTTTGGTTGTTGGAAGGTTTAGCAGTGCCCCACAGTTATAGTACTTCTGTCCAGATTGATTTTAGTATTGTCTTGTAGATTGTCAGTTTGTTTTTTTGTTTGAACGTTAGATTTGCGTGCCAGTAGCCTGTAGAGTTGTTCCAAACTTTTGGTTAATCCTGTCGTTTTAGACGTGTGTGTGATTTTCAAGGTATAAGCTGTAATTTGTTGTATTTTATTTTAAACAAAGCATTGCTTTTGTAACAATATCTAACCATTGAGTAAAGTAGCTATTTTTTCATCTCTTAAAAGTGAAATGCATACAACGAATTTTTCTTTTGAAAAAGTACGTTTTTTTGGACAAATGGTATTAATTAAGAGTAATGGGAAAATATTACATTATAAGTCAAACCCGACGTAAAAATTGCTATTGCAATCTCCTGTGCCGGTATGAATAGAACCTTTTCAAATATGCATTTGCTGGCTATATCAAAAACTACCTAACTTCGCTCCATCTTCCTTTCATGTTATTTTCTTTTCAAATTTTTCATGACACCGACAGTATAATAAATGAAAACGATGTATTTCACAAATGTTAAAATAGATAACAGTTTTTTTTTCAAGGTGGAATACCGTTATTCTGCATAAAAAATATTACGGTAGTTTTTATTTAATAAAATAAATCGTACTGTAAATAAAATCGCATTTTTCCTATTTTGAAAACTGAAAGTTTTTTTAACCATATTAACTTTGGTACTACATCTCACACTACAAGGCAAGTTTAGGTTGGATCAATACAATTTATTAGAATATTTTCGCCGTTAACGTACGCCACTAGATCGTTATTTTTCCTTGTAAACCTACAAAATAACTCTATTTTTATTATTATTTATTTAAATTGAGATAAAAGTCCACGAGAAGCAAAGCAGCAAATTTCTTCTCGGGTTTATTCAAACATAAATTTCAGTAACAACACAACTTCCCCAAATTGGATAATAACATCCAATAAGTTGTCTACAGATCATGACATTGTCGCATTGTTTAAAAATAATAGGTGCAGCAACGATAATGTTGTCGTTAAGAAAAATTGCCAAGAATCATGCGATACGAATGTACCCTTTATAATTTCTATGTGCTATCCGTCGCGTCCTTTGTGTTTTAGGAAGTTATAATTTAACGTTATAATTTATATTAAGATACTTTATGATATTCCTTATAATTTTTTTACATAAGTTGTACAACGTATAATTTATACGATACGTTACAAAAAGTTATAAAAACTGATACTTTTAAATAAAACGATTGTTGACCAAGAGACAATGTTCTACTTTTTTAATATGTTGGAAAAAGGCTACTTTTTAATAAAAAAATTTCAGGAAGCATAAAT